CAGAAAGGCGCATGTGAAAGATTTAGAGAGAAGTTGACCTAGTTAATGAAACAGGTTTTAGAAGACCAGTTAAAGGAGTGGTGGTAGCAGAATGACTTTCCTAGCGTAGGAAGGAGGGAGATGAAGATACGTGCAGAGAGAAGTTTGATGATAATGTCCTTTTTTAAACCTACAGGATTTTGGAGAAGATTATTGCTAAAAGAATTAGTCAAGAGACATTTCCAGAAGGAAGGAAAATTGAGTCAATAGCACTAAATGTGGCAGAGTGGTATGATGTGATAAAAATAATTAGATTTTGGCAACTTATTAATTACTTTAGCAAGAGATCAGTTTAAGAGTACTTTGCTACAGGAGGTATAGGTAAAAGCAAAATTTAGTAGGCTGAGAAATGAAAGGAAAGAAAAAATGTACACTAAATATATGCTCAAGAAATTTGTGACTAATAAGATCTAAACTCTTTGGCTTGGCTTTCATCAAAGTTTGTTCCACCACACCTATCTAGCTTTACATCCTATATTATTCATATATATATATATATATATATATATGTGTATATATATATATTATTTTTTCCAAGTAGGTCTGGTCTCCTCACTGCCTTGGAAACATCATTCCAATTCTACATATTTCAATATTCATGTTATTACTCGAGCCTGTTTCTGGGTAGATCTTTATCTCCCCCCCCTTTTCTCCCTTCCCCTCCCCTCCTCTCCCCTCCTCTCCCATCTCCTCGTCTTCTCTCTTCTCCTCTCCTCTCTTCTCCTCTTCTCTTTTCTTCTTCCTACTGCCCAAAAGATGTACTCACAAATTGTTAATAAAGAAGAGATTTGGATCTTACATGACTCTAGGTTGGGTGGAAGTTGATGTGGGCATCAGAGAGTGCTTGGTTGGGATAGGAAGAGGCATAACATTCAACCAGGAACTTTCACAGAATAACCATATCTTAAAAGACTGCCCTCGATACTTAATAGTCTATAACTACTGTCTACCCAAGAACTAGTGTCATTCTGGATATCAAACCTTAGGCACACCTTAGGCACAGATTCCTGTAGTCTCAGAAGTCACTGAGCTGCCTCTGTGACTACCACCTTTTGATGAGAATGTGTCTCTGTTGCTGTGACTTCTCCAAGGCATCCAGTCATGGATTCCTTTACATTCTTACATTGAAGCCACCTGCACTATTGGCTAGCATTGATAGTTTGGATATTCCTTAATTTACTGGAGAGTTGATAGATGTATCTGTGAGACCAAATAGTGGTTGTCTTCATTAAAAAAACTCTGATTCTTGTTCTTTAGTATATCTCAGTTATTACTGACTTAGCAACAGATTCCTTTATTCTTCATCTTACTTGTAGAAGAATACCATTTTATGGAAACCCTCAGCTCTATCATTTTGTTAGTTACAGTAAATTTTGTCCATCTTTTACACTAAACTGATACAAAAAGCCCTGATGTGTTTATTCAGCTTGAGACAAATATGAAGAATAAATATATTTAAAATTATTTTATCCCTTAACAGCTTCTCATTCAGTTAGATGGTAAAACCAGAAGAAACTACTGAGTTCTAAAGTTCTAAAGATACAGTATCAGGCACATGTGAATTTAAGGAAATTATTTTTTTCTACCTATGATGCATCTCTAAGCCTAATTTCTTCATCTGTAAAATACCAGAATAGAAACAATGTGGATGGGCCTTAACTTTCACAATTTTAAGTGTAAATGTAAGTATAGGTCAAGAAGAATGAGAGTATATAACATCAAGGTGAAAATGACAGCTTCAAGTGGGAGAAAAGGAAAATGTAATAGTGTGGAGTGCCATAGATTCTTACTGGGGGATAGGAGAGGGTGATTATCTAGCAGGAGAGTGGGATTGAATAGGAGGGTTGCATAGTGTGGCTAGACTGAGAATTCCCAAAATAGTTTAATCCTTAAAAGAATAACCTCAACCTTCTCATGTACTATTAGTCCTAAACTACTTTCGTTGTTTCCATCTAAAACATCTGATACAAGGGTCAAAAACTGAGCAGGAAAAGAGTCCTGCATATCCACACCCTAAATGACCATTCTCTAATTTACTAAAAGCCTTTTAAGTTTGCAGCTGGAAAGGGAAATCAACTGAATGAAGAGAAATGGTCTTGGCTTTCTTGCTGATTTACTGTATAACTATCTGGAATGCTACTTGTAGAATAATATGGGAAGAGATGACATCTTAACAGTTTTGTCTTCCCATCCAAGAATATGGTATGTCTTACTATGATTCAAATTACCTTTTATGTTCTTCATTAAAATTTTTACCTTTTTCTCCATGTATATTTTGTGTTATGCTTATCTCTGATAATATCAGTTTGTGGTTATTGTGAATAGGATATTTAAAACTACATTTTAAAAAAGATTGATTGATTGATTGATTTGAGAAAGAGAGAGAGAATGTGCGTGCAAGTGTGGGGGAGGATCAGAGGGAGGGAATCTTTAATCAGTCTCCCCGGTGAGTGTGAAGACCAAGGCAGGGCTTGATCACACCACCCATGAGACCATGATTTGATCTGAACCCAATAGTCAGACACTTCACTTACTCACCCATGCAGGTGCCCCTAAAACTACGTTGTTTTTACTGGTTAGTGCTGTTATATTAATTTTTTTTATTGTTTATCTAGTATTTAGCCAGTCTGTCCATAGCTCCTATAATAATTCTAATAGTCTCTCTTTGAATTCTTCTACATTTTATTGATACAGTCATATTCTGTATGGATAATACCATAATTTACAGTTTGCCTTTCTAACATTTGTGTCTCTTCTTTTTAATCCAATTTGTTGACATTGTCCTCTAATAAAACACTGCATAACAATGGGGAGAGTTGACAATTGTTTCTTTATTCCAAACTGATTAAGACATGAGCATTTATGGAGCCTTATCACTTCCCTTCTTTTTTTCTCTTTCGTCTCATTATGGTCTTCCACTTATGAGTACATGAGAGCTATTACTAAAAGAGGACTGAATTGATTTGCTTCATTTGAAAGTAATCATATTTTTCTTAGGAAGTTGCTGCAATATGCCATGTTTTTTTTTTTCCGTATAAGTAACACTTTATACTAACTTGTTATTATGAGCATACCTAAACTATGTTTATACAGTAATGCAGCATAAGATAACAGAATAATTGGAATTTGTTTACCTTTACAGAAAATGAATGGATGCTATAGACACTTCACCATTTTGATAGATTTACCATCAGCTTCTACTCCCTCCATTGTCATTATACCTGAAGTTATCAGCTCCTTTCCCTCACTGTTGTTTCTAATTTGAGAAGACTAAAAAAGTTACATCACAAAATTTCTCAGAATTTTAATTTTTAAATAAAATGAGAATAAATGAGGTATCAGTGAGAATAAAAATATTTTCTTCTTATAATGAGCCTAGCATAAATTAAATATTTGAGGTGTTTGCAGTATTTGCTTAGGGCGCTTTTGTGCTTATTTCCAGGCATTGGCTGTTTGGAGGAGTTTAGGTTCCTGGAAGAGTAGTGTGCTAATGTGTTAGAGTATATCCTTCTTAAGGAGAACCCTGTTGTACCTTTAGAAAGTAACTTTCATGTCAGGCTGTCTTCTGATGGCTGCCTCATTTTGGCTGGAACTGAAAAGACTGTAATGTGTTATGGGCTACATACACATTTTACAGCTATCATTTTCTGACAGACTTATTCTTGATGATGTTACCTTTCTTTTTTTCTCTAGTGTTTGTACTTAAATGTCCTTATAGTCTCTCTCTAATTCACTGTATCCAGTTATTTAGCAATCAAAAGAGAGCTGAGTATGACAGCTCCTAGTGTTACATTCACCTCCTCTGAAGTACTGGTTCTGCTTGTATTCATCATCTGAGTTAGCATTTATTAAATATTTTTTTCCTTTTGGTGTTATCTCTTGCCTTATAAACTGACTGGACATTAATTGTGACTTTGACTAGTCACTTTGTTTGCTCTTGGATTTGAAGTAAAATAGCAACAACAGCATTTGGAACTTTTCTGTGGACTAGCTTTTGATAATCTCTACTAAAATCTTGAGTCTACTAACAAGAGCAAATGTCAGTGAACATAAACCACATAAACCATATTCTTATGAAGCTGATAAAAAAAAAAAAACCCACGAAGGCCACGAATGCTCACAACTTTTGCTGAACAGAATATGAAACCCGTTTTTTTTTTTTTTTCATTTCATTCCCAAAATTCTCACTGGTAGAAAATAAAGGATCAGAAATCTATAGGAGATAAGTTGTTTAAAAGGTACTAACAGCTTTGTTAGCAAATTAAATAGTTCTAATTATAGTGCTAAAAGAAGTTTGGCATTAGTGGGTATACATGTATACAAATTATGATACTTGGAAAAGGAGTGACAATGAAAATCTAATTTCAAGTCTGGAAATTTTAGCTGGGTAACCAAATGTTGAGACTGAATCATTCGGTTTCCTCAGATCAAATTTACCATTCTGTTTGTGTAAGATGAAATCAGAAATAGCAAAGCCCTTCAAAAGTCCTTGCGAAGTGACCTGTAAGTAATGGGTATTTATTGATGGCCCACCCTTTATTAACTTTTCTTTCATCTCTGCCCTGACCCTGGGGACTCAGGACTGGGTGTTGGTTTTCCTGAAACAGTGCTCAGAGGCAATTCTGCATTGGATTTCCTTTTCTTGCCTCCCTGAAACTGATTCCTCCAGTGTGCACTTTCTTGTCAATCTGTGAATGCACAACCTCCAGTGAACTGGAAACTAAGCTCCTAGTGGGTCTGCTTTTCCAACTTATTCACGTATTTTTTTTTCCTTCTAGGAAATAAACAGCTTTTTACCGACTCACGAATTTGTATAATTCTCCATTTTCCTTAAGATTAGGTTATGTGACATGTATTTATGATTTAATAAACAAGGGCTATTTTAAAATGTGGAGATGATAATATGTTTTTTCCTAGACAGTTGTGCAGATTACTTTGACAGGTTTTCTTTCATGTTTAAGGTGACGACACTTGTCAACACCAGCAACAAAGGCCCATCTGGTAAAAAGAAAGGGAGGTCAAAGAAGGCCCATGTCCTGGCAGCATCTGTAGAGCAAGCCACTCAGAACTTCCTGGATAAGGGAGAACAGATCGCTAAAGAGAGTCAAGATCTCAAAGAAGAATTGGTCGCTGCGGTAGAGGATGTACGCAAACAAGGTAAGAAGAATAATATTGTTTAAGAGGAATGTATATTGATGTGTAAACAGTGGATTTGTCTCTAGAATCAATGCATATTTGCTCAAAAGAGTAGTCTTATGTTTTTCCTCAGTATCTGCACTTGCCATTTTTAACATTTGCTGGAATTAAGTGCATAGACAAATAGAGATATTTTTACTTGTGGCAGCATAGTGCAACCACAAAAGTTTCATGTATGCTGTTACTTTCAAATTTTCAAGTTGTTTTCTCTTGATTGATGACTGCAGACTTCTGTGTCAAACTGAGGCTCTAGGGAGGAGAGGATGAGAATACCTTATACTTACAGAGTCACCAAACACTTAGGGTTTTAAAGATGAGGGAAGAGATGACTGTAAAGCAATTAGCTATCTATGATCAATCAGTTATGTAATTAGCTAGTTAGCCATAATGCAAGTTTTCAGCATATTTAAAATTTTTAATTGTGGTAAAATACTAATAAAATGTACCATTTTAACCTTTTTTAAGTGTATAATTCAGCAAAGTATATTCACACTGTTGAGTAGACAATCTCCAGAACTTTTTCATCTTGTAATTCTGAAACTCTATACCTACAAAATAACAATTCCTCATTTTCCCACTGCCCTAGCCACTGGCAACCATTGTTCTACTTTTCTTTTCTATGAATTTGACTACTCTAGATACCTTATGTAAGTGGGATCATGTAGTATTTCTTTGTGATTGGCTCATTTCACTTAGTGTCATGTTCTCATGTTTCATACATGGTGGAACATGGGTCAGAATTTCCTTCATTTTAGGACTGAAAATATTCTAGTATGTGTATATACCACATATCTTTATCCCTTCATCCATTGATAGACGTTTGTGTTTCTTCCACCTTTTGGTTATGGTGAATAATTATGCTATGATCATAAATATACAAATATTTCTATTTCAGTTCCTTTGGGTCTATACCCAAAGGTGGAATTTCTAGATTATATGGTAATTCTAATTTTAATTTTTGAAGGAGCCTCCGTACTATTTTCCATCACAACCGTACCGTTTTACACTTATACCAACAGTGCACGATGGTTACAATTTATCCATGTCCTTGGCAACACTTGTTTTCTTTTTTTTATCATAGTCATCATAATGGGTGTGATAGCTCATTGTGCTTTTGATTAGCAGTTCTCTGAGGACTCGTTCTATTGACTTTGTTTTCATATGCTTGTTGGCCATTTGTATATCTTCTTTGGAGAAATGTGTATCTATGTCCTTTACCCATTTTTTTAAGATTTTATTTATTTATTCATGAGACACACACACACACACACAGAGAGAGAGAGAGAGAGAGAGAGAGAGAGAGAGAGAGAGAGGCAGAGACACAGGCAGAGGGAGAAGCAGGCTCCATGCAGGGAGCCAGATGCGGGACTCAATCCTGGGTCTCCAGGATCACGCCCTGGGCCGAAGGCAGGCGCCAGACTGCTGAGCCACCCAGGGATTCCCCCTTTGCCCATTTTTAAATCAGGTTGTGTTGTTCATTTGTGAGCATTCTTTATATATCTTAGATATGAACCCCTTATACGATACTGTTTTGCAAACATGTTCTCCCTTTCTGTAGGTTTCCTTTTCCCTTTGTTGATTGTGTTCTTTGATACACAGAAGTTTTTAATTTCAGTGTAGAGTTCTATTCAGAATTTTCAGTTGAAAATACTAAGCACCATGAAATCAGAACAGATTATCCCCTGGCCTGACCTCCCTCCTGCATTTCCTATCTCAGTAAAAGCCACGTTATATGTATCCATTTGCACAGTGGAGAAATCTCAGTATCATTATTTTTCTCTCCTTCCAAATACAGTCTATTATGAAATCCCATAGATTTTTAACCTCAAAACATCTTTTAAGTGGATCAGTTCCTGTCTTAATTATTCAAAAGTATCATGTTTTACCTGCCCCTGTGCGTTAGTAAATGCTGTCTTCTTTTACATAATTAAGGATGACTCATTCTGCACATCCCAGCTCAAGAGAAACCCTTCCCAGGGAAACCTTTCCTGACACTCCTGTCATACTTTTCATGGCTTTTTCCCCTTATCACTTTGCACAGGATAGTTTAATATTTGTGGGGTAACCTAACTGGTAACTTTTTATCCTGCCACACTATAAATTAATCAAGATAGAGACCAAACCATGTCTCTTTTGCTGATCCACAATTTGCAGTTCTAAGCAGTCCTAAGACTAATGAGTGTTGAATAAATGAAGCAATAGATCAATATATGCTCTCCTGTTCTCTCCTTTTTCTTCTGGCAAATCTACCACTTTCTAAATTCACAGATGGCTGTTTAGTCCCTAGAAATATCAACCCTCCTTCTACACCAAGAGCCACTATTATTTGTGCTGCCATCTTCTTCCCCATTTTCTCTCCCCTGAAAGTTAATTTCATTTACATCACACTAATATAAATTGTTATGTAATTTGAAATGTTAAATTTTATGTACTTCATCTAATGTACATGGAGTATATTTGTATATGTGTTTTAAAAACATGAAAGCTTCCCAATTGTCAAGTGCTGTTGAAGACTGGTATTCCTTCTGAATTGCAAATGCACACTGTTTTCATGCATATATAGCCTGGATAGTTTTTTTTTTTTTTTTCTTTCTTTCGTTTTTAGATTGACTGCTATATAATAAATTGCACACATTTAAAGTGAACAATTTTATAAGCTTTGACAAATCTATACACTGTAAAACCATCAACACATTCAAGATAGTCAATCTGTCCCCAATGGAAAGGGTTTTGATAGGTCCCTAGGATACTTTCTCAAAGCATTTATCTTTTATGGTAATATATTTTTCCTTTTAGGTTTTCAACGATCTTTTAGCTTTCCCTTATTTTTTTTCCTGCAATTTGGTTTTCACACTTCTGTAGAAATTAATATTTCAGTTTTCTCAAAGCTTATATAAGGAATGCTATTTTTTTGGATAAGATATAATAACCAATATGGTTCTTGACCAGCCTGTCTAGGGGATATGAGAGTGAGATTTTTTTTAAGATGCTAGTTTAGAACATCTTACGGAGATCAGTCTTACAGAGCATATTTTAAACTTTCTCTATATTATACACTTCTCATTATATAAAAATTATGCACCAGAAATGATGCCTATGTGTTAACTGTTTAAAAGCTCAATTACCACATACCCCTTTTGCTGAACCGTGTCACATGTAAGGAAACATTGCTATAGTCTGCAAAATAACAAACATTTTACAGGGAAAAGATTTAGAAATTTTCTTTCTGTTTCTCTTGTCAAATATCTCTCACTGTCAAATAGGGTTCAGATCCCTGTCATATGGGAGAGATGCGTCTAGTCCCTGACAACAAAGTCCTCAGGCTCTCCTTCCACATCTGCTCATGGGCTCTCCTGTCTGCTCTCTGCCCCTTCTCAGTACTTGTATATAACCTCTCTAGCCCATCCAGTTTTGCCCCATTTTCCTGTTGGCCCTGTTTTGTTCACCCAGATTTTATTTACAGTGAGAGCCTGGGTTGATTTTCAGAGACAGATATAGGAAGATCGGGGGCAACACTCAAGGATTAGAACAGGACTATTTAGTTATTAGAAACTTTGAAACTTAGTATCTTTCCTTGTGTCATAGAAATCTACATTCTTGGGACACCTGGGTGGCTCAGTGGTTGAGTGTCTGCCTTCAGCTCAGGGTGTGATCCTGGAGTTCTGGGATCGAGTCCCACATCAGACTTTTTGTGGAGCCTGCTTCTCCCTCTGCCTGTGTCTCTGCCTCTCTCTCTCTCTGTCTGTCATGAATAAATAAATAAAATCTTAAAAAAATAAATAAAATAAAATTTTAAAAAATAAATCTACGTTTTTATATGTAAGATGATATTCAGAGATTATGGGAATGCTGACATCAAGAACTAATATCCTCCTATAAAGTAGCCCTAGTATCTGTATGTACTCACTTATAAGATGATGTGTAATTTAGAACTAAATCTGTAAGAAGTGGTCTTCTAGGGATCCCTGGGTGGCGCAGCGGTTTGGCGCCTGCCTTTGGCCCAGGGCGCGATCCTGGAGACCCAGGATCGAATCCCACGTCAGGCTCCCGGTGCATGGAGCCTGCTTCTCCCTCCGCCTGTATCTCTGCCTCTCTCTCTCTCTGTATGACTATCGTAAATAAATAAATAAAAAATTAAAAAAAAAAGTGGTCTTCTACTATTGAGTTGTTTTTATATTTTAAAATCTAATGATCAGATTTTTTGCCACTTTAATAAAATATATAGCACAAGTTAATGCCAGGAGTTTTAATTTTGTACATCTCCATTTTCAGATTTTTAGTACACAACCATTTCTTATTTTTTTTAATTTCACAACATTCATAATTATAATAACTTAAATATGTAAGACAAGATTATATAAGAACTTTTTACGCCATTATTGTTTCTAGGCTATACTTAGTGTTGTTTGAATTTCTTTATCATTTGAAAAATGTATTCTCGGGGGATCCCTGGGTGGCTCAGCGGTTTGGCGCCTGCCTTCAGCCTGGGGCGTGATCCTGGAGTCCGGGAGTCAAGTCTCACATCAGGCTCCCTGCATGGAGCCTGCTTCTCTGTCTCTCTATCTCTTTCTGTGTGTCTCGTGAATAAATAGATAAAATCTTAAAAAAAAAAAAAAAAAAAAGAAAGAAAAATGTATTCTCTTTTAAACCTAAGCTGTAGGGCAGCCTGGGTGGCTCAGCGGTTTAGTGCCGCCTTCAGCCCAGGGCATGATACTGGGGACCCAGGATCGAGTCCCACGTCAGGTTCTTTGCATGGAGCCTGCTTCTCCCTCTGCCTGTGTCTCTGCCTCTCTCTCTCTCTCTCTGTGTGTGTGTGTCTCTCATGAACAAATGAATAAAATCTTAAAAAAAAAAAGATAAATAAAATAAAATAAAATAAAAATAAACCTAAGCTATATGCTAGATTCTTAAAAGTGCTCTGTATGAGGGGTAACAATATATTACCCTAGAATAGTCTAGTA